GCTGGCACAACCCCACACACACACCCTGAGCCCTGGATCAGGACTTCGGGAAAACCTTAAGCTGATGTAGGTTCCTGAAGTCCATCACCAACCCTGATGAGGAAGCCTGTCATAGATTCAGATCTGAATGATACTTGAGCACTGCTGGCTTCATTAAGCTCCAGAATCCATTTTTTCAGAAAGAGTTAGAAAGACTCACCCTACATGGAAAGAGAAGGTGACGTGGTCCTTTTTCCCTGTCCAGCAGCCCCTTCCCCAAACTGACCTTCACTGTGCCTTAGGCTGTACCTCCTGCCCAGAGAGGGGAGCTTCTGTGACTGGGCCCCTTCTCACTTCCCATCACGGGGACTCATTTCTAGAACCAGGGATCCAGAGGCCTAGCCACAGCCTCTTGACTGACCTGGAGGGCTGGGCCAGGCAGTGCTCCAGGATGGGCAAAGGCCCTTATAGACCTAGAACCTGATACCAGCCCAGGAAGGGAAGGAGAAAAGGCCCAGCCCCTGCCCAGAGGAGACGGCTGACAAGGAAGTCAATTTCCTGGTGGCTTGTCAGGCTCCAGAGTCCCCCAGGGTGTGACCCATCTGGCCTCTGGCCGCTGGCCCCTGCCCCTCTGAAAACAGACAACCCTTAGCCCCATCTGAAGAGGCCTGCTGGTGTTCTTCAACATCTCACTTGTAAAGGACCCAAAAGAGAAAGGGACGGGCACCCCCTTCCCCAGGAGACCCCACCTAGGTTGGGCTCCTTGTGAGTCTGGGCTCTTCTCAGCAGGAGCCTCTTCCTTTGAGGCCCAGGGGGCTCTGGGGTGAACACATCCCACCCCAGCACTGGGTGGAGCTGGAAGGGTTTGCCCCCCTTCCCACAGCAGGGAAGTGGGACCCTGTGGCTTTGGAGCTGCCCTGGCTCCAGGAAGGCGGTGGTGATGGGAGTGGGAGGTTCTCAGCCTGGAGAGGTGCCTCCCTCCTTCCCGTTCCAGGTCTGGTTGGACAGATTGAGGCTGACACACCTGAGAGAACCCGGAACGCCAGAGAGCCCGGAGCTGGGGAGCTGGGCTGGAATGCGGGCCTCCCTGGAAGGGTGTGTCCATGTTCCAGGGTGGTGAGAGGGAGGGCCCTTCCTGTAGAGCAGGCTCCTCCCAGCAGCCCTGGTGTCCCCAAACGCAGGCTTCAGGGACCAGAAGGCTCCTGCAGCTTCCAGCTGATTCCTGGCTTCCCAGCTGGAAAGGCTGTTACAGAATCCCAGGAATGTGCCTTGAGCTCAGAGAGAAAATTCCCAAAATAACTTCTATAAATACTTGAGGGCAGGGGTGGGGAGGGAGGGCTCAGCCTGGCCCACAGCTGGCCTAGCGCCAAGGCTGCTTCCCAGGGCAGGCCCCCCTCAAAAGAAGAAGAGGCATGCGCACCCCTAGACCTCTGTACTGCTCCGCCCTTGGTGGGCATCATCAGGCACTGAACTTACGGGGTGGGATGGTGTGCAGTGGATTCTGAAAAGGCAAGGCCCTTTCCCTCATCCACTCCCAGGCCACAGCCCCTGGCCACACACTGCCTCTGCAAAGGACCTGGGTCCCACAGGGAGGCTCCCCACTGAGTGTGAGCCCAGACCAGCAAGACCCTGGGCCCCTTAGGTTCTGCGCCTTCGTGGCTGTAAGAGGTAAGGCTTGCCAAGCTCCACGTGGGCAGCATCCCTGGTCGGAGGCCCACATCTGTAAGTGTGGGGTGCCTCTGGGTTCCCTGGCTCTGTGTTTGGGCTACATCCTGAGCTCTGAGCCCTGTTGAGCTGCTGTCCTTTGGGGAATAACAAAGCAGGCAGGAGGCTGGGGCTCTATCCCTCTCAGCCTCGGGAGGGGCAGGACAGGGATCGCATCCATGAGCTCCACAGTAACTAAGCATGACGTTGAGGCGGTTGTGTGGTCAGGAGGAACTCCGTCCTCAGGGAAGGCTTCCTGGGAGAGCAGGGTCTTGAGCACTTGAGATGTGGCCACACATCCCCACTCCCTGAGATCAGGAAGGGAGAGAAGGAGGAGGGTCCTGAGGTGGGAATTTCTGGGGACTTCCCCCAGAGCCCTGCACCTCCCTGGAACCATGTTTGTGGCTATAACCAGCCCAAAGCGCCCCCTTGGAGTTATGGTGTCTGATCACCATAAACAACTTTCAAATCCCTGTGGGCTGCCAGCACAGCTGTGGCATCTCCCAAGGGAAGGTCAAAACTGGGAGCCTCTCAGCAGATCTGATCTCCTCTCTCAGCGTGGGGCACCCCCTCACCAGGATGGGGGATGGGGGATTCACTTGGGACATTTGGATGCAATTGAGATGCCAGTTCTTGTTGCCACCATCTCTCTGGAGGCCTATTCTCTGGGAGGGTCGGGGTGCCAGGAGGATTGTCTGCAGGCCCTAGATGCAGCGCTGGGCTCAGGACAGAGTCGGTGAGACCTCGCATCTTCCTGGGGCTGTCTTGCCCAGTTGTCAGGCAGCAAACAGCGCTGAGTTGCTACCAAACATGAACTGGGCTGGTGTCAGGGGCAGGTGGCAGAAGATCCTGTTACAGGCCCTGGGCCTCTGGGCCCCAGCCTGACCCCAGCCCGGTGTCTCCTTTCAGGCTCTAAGGTCAACACCCCAGGGTGGGGGGACATGAGCCAACCCACCCTAGCCTACAGTCCTCCCCCAAAGAGAGCCATGCCCTCTCCCAGCTTCTAGAGAGATCAGCCATCCACCAGCTCCCCGCCCAGAAGGACCCTCTGCTCATCTTGGAGGTGCTGCTGTTTGCTGTCTGCCCCTGCGGTGATTTTTCCAATTCATCATTGCAGACTCCTCACAAGAGCCCCACGAGGAGGGACAGTTCATTGCTTGGTTTACAGATGAGGAAACCACAACTCAGAGAAAGCTGGCCATTTGTCCACGGTCACAGCGCTTGTCAGTGGCAGAGCCGGGATTCCAGCCTGGCCAGGGCTTCCGGCCACCAAGCCCTGGGCTTTTTCCTCTCTACAGACACACAGAGGAAGTTACTGCAAACCTCCCAAACTGAGAATAAAATACACATACACACACACACCAGCCTGCAGACACATCTGGCCCCTTCCCAGACACCCACATACTTCTTGATATCAGGGGTTTTCAAACTTGTTTTTAGCAGTTGAGCCCTTTTTTCAAACAAAATCCCATGTGGAAGCTTAATACAGAAAACTTAACGTGTGGAAGCCGCTCTGGGCCTGCCCCTCCCTGAGAGGCCTTGCCGGCCTTTCCCTTCTGTCCTGTGTTGCTCCCTCCTGGGCAGAACTCACAGGGCTCAAACCCTTCATTTTTGGTGCTCAATTTTGTGTCTGGCAGCCGTTGGCTGGCCTGCCTTCCCTCCTCCCTGTGGGCTTTGTTCCATTGTGAGCTGCTGGGGTCTGGCCCTTGGGCCGTGTGGGCAGAACAGCTAGGCCTCGTGCCCTGCTGGCCAGCCTGGCCACTACCCTTGGTCCCAGGCAGCCCTGAGTCAGCACCACTCCCATCTGGCGAGAGCGGAAGACCCTGCCTGAGGCTCCACCCCGCCCGCAGCCACCCTGTCCTCCCCTGGCCTCTGCACGCCTCATCCATGTGTGTGGTTCCTTGGTACAGCGTTGCCCAGGGCTAACAGAGGCTCTGTGAGGACAGCCTCTTCCTCCCCCGCCCCCTGGCCACAAGATCTCCAGCCAGCACCTATGGAGAGGGAGAGGCTTTTCCTAGGGCTTCCTAAGCGCCATCTTTCACTCCCGCCGAATTGGTTGTGTTCCAAGCTCTCTGAGGACTTGATGAAACCAGGCATGCGCATCTTCCCCAGCGCGTCTCCATAGCAACAGAGGGCCTAACTCTGGGGAGCTCGCTGAGGAGGAAAATGTTCCAGCTAAAAATGTACATGGCCGTCAGTGGGCGGGCACTGGAGAGGGGGCTCCAGGCACATAGAAAGCAGCTCCCCACCCCCACTGCGGCCCCCGCCTGTCCAGGAAGTCGGTGGTGGGTTTTACCTCCTGTCTTTTAACAAGAGAAGGGTCCCCCCCGAGGGACCATCTCATGCCACCCTCAGGGCTGAAACAGGGATCAGTGGGATGGCACGAAGTAGCCTTTCTGCTGAAAGGGGGCCCTGCCCCTCTGCCTCCGCTCACTACCCTGTCCTCGCTACCCACTTCCCAGCGTGGGTAAAAGAGGATGTAGAGGGGACAGGGTGCCAGTTTCACTTCCCAGCCTCTTATGACGATTCCTGTTAGTTCCTCTATCTCTTTGGTAACAGGGTTGTTTGAGCCAAACAGCAGGGCCAAGCTTCCCTGCGCCTGACCCAGACCCCCAGGGCCTTTCATCTTTCAGCCAATCCAGCCTGTTCACCCAGCGCCCCATTCACCCAGCACCCTGTCCCCCGCCATCTGACTCTCCTCCTGTGACCCTCTCCTGAGGAGCCACCGCACACGCACACATGCTTGAGCTTTTCCTCCCCGGTGACAGTGATGAAGCCTCGTAATGCGTCCTCCTCAGTCTTTCTGCATCCCTGGGGTGAAGGGCAGCTCCTTCCGGGCCGCAGGAAGGACTGAGAGGCACGGTCCCACTGAGTGAGAACACACTCCTGCCAGACACTTCTCAGAGCTTTACACCTCCTGACTCCTTTCAGCCTCACCCCGCCCTCCAGAGAGATGCTGTGATTTTCCCATTTACAGATGAGGAAACTGAGGGCCAGAGAGCTGGGATTTGCCCAGGATCCCCCAAACAAGGTGACACAGCCAGGTCTGGTGACTTGAAAGCCAATTCCTCGGGACCGGCAGGAACAGAGCTCCTGCAGTGGGTTTCCCAGGAGGCTGGGGTTAAAGCACAGGTTGGGCAGGGCCAGGTAGGATTCATGGGGAAAGGCACAGTCACTTGACAGTGCCCAAGCCAGAGACGCAGGAGCCTCTCGAGCTGATGGCTACTGCCACCCGTGCACCTGTACTTGGCCCAGTTGCCAAGATGCCTGTGCCATGCCACGACCCCTACTCACCCTGCCCTGTGCTTGGTCCACAGGGTCTGATGCTGAGTCGGCTTGGCCACAAGAGCCTGGCCCAGAAGGTGCTTCGAGATGCCGTGGAGAGGCAGAGCACGTGCCACGAGGCATGGCAGGGCCTGGGCGAGGTGCTGCAGGCCCAGGGCCAGAACGAGGCCGCCGTCGACTGCTTCCTCACTGCCCTGGAGCTGGAGGCCAGCAGCCCTGTGCTGCCCTTCTCCATCATCCCCAGAGAGCTGTGACGACACTGCAGCCACAGGGAGGGAGGGCCGGCCAGAGGGAGAGGCAGCAGTCAGTGTGGGGTGACAGTGGCATCAGGTGCGGGGCCTCAGGGAAATCCATCTTTAGTGAACGCCTCCGCAGCTGCGGCCCTCGTTCTCCTGGCTCGGCCAAGAGGGTCTTCCTGGATTTCTTTGTTGGTGCCTTGGGAAACAGTCTGACTTGAACCCTAAGTGCCTTTTTGCAGAGTTTTGTGGTGACCAGACTTGCACCCCAAGAGCTGGGCAGAGGGGAGCCTCACAATTGTCCTTCACCCTCACCCATGCCTCTGGTTGGGGGTCTGGGGATCTCACTCCCCACTCTCAGCACAGCACAGACTTCTGGATCCCTCTCAGGTCTTGCCCAGGGCAGTCACGACGTGAAGAAACTGGGCAAGTGGGAAGACGATGGGATTTCTGGGTTCCCTTCCCAGACTTGGAGTTAGCAGATGATGCCCACGTTGCCCCTCTTTGCCCCCTGAGGCCAGCTGGGCCCCACTGTGCTCTTTCCCTCTGCTACCAAGTGCCTTTGGGGCCTCTGGGGTCTAGCCAGGGGGGTACTGAGCACTGGCCCTTACACTTCCATTTCCACCCACCCCATCTCCCTGGAAATGTGTTCCAGCCCAAGCAGCCTCCGTTGGTTTTAGATCCTGTGGTTGCTAGATCCAGTCCTTTCTAATACCCTGAGTCAACACGTTACTCCTGCAGGTCTTACGCTACAATGCAGGTCCCTCGAGGGCCAATAACATGGAGGTGGGCAATTTCTAGGACTGTCGCCAGTACATCTCACCACCCACAGCCCTTTTTTGCCTTGATTTGAGCCCCCTAGCCTTTTGGGTTGCCCTGCCTGAGGCAGACCTGAGGAGGGGACAGAGCCCAGCCTTTCTCCTGTGACTGAGCAGGCCTCTGTGTCCATGACACCTTTTTCCGGGCCTGGGGGCTGTGGGTGTATGTCTTCCCTGCTGGCTCCCCTGGCCCCTGCTGCATGACGCTCTTGGAACTCTTCCCCAAGGAGTCAGTCCCCCAGGCTTATCAGGGAATCCTTTTGTATCTGCACTTTGGGTTTTAGTTTCAAAGCTCCATCAGGTACAGCTTACATTTCAGGATGTGTAGAAAGCTCAGGTGAGGGCTGCCCTGGTTTGTCATAGCTCCACCTTCCTCGGAGGGAGAGAGCTGTTGGAGACCCCCCATCCATGGCACACTAGCTCAGCACTGCATGTCCCGAGATGATTCCCAAGACAGCTGGTGCCTCCTGGCTTTCCTGCGGCAGGCCAAGGGGCACCCCAGAGGACGCTGGATCCTTCATGGTTGAAGGATCTCTATGTATGTGTGTATATAAATATAGTTTTTATATATATATATAAAAAGTAGAGATCTATTTTTTTCTGGAATTATGTTAGAAAAGTAAAGAAAAAGCAAATGCTGTTGATTTATCTCAGGGTGCCCAAAGAGTTGTAGTCAATTTTTGGTACTAGGAAAGGCACCCAATGCATTTCCTGACTTTTAAGCAGTTCCTTGTTGGAAGCAGCAGAGGGCCAAGCCAAGTTGCTGACAGTGACTTTACAGGTTAAATAAAGAGACCCTCGGAGGGGAAGCAGGCTTGTCTGAAGCAGCATGTTTATTCACTGGGCATGTCGCTCCCGCACCAGCCTTGAGCCAGGCCCTGGAGAGGAGGGGCTGTTGCAGGAGGAGGGAGGCCAGAGAAGTCATCGAAGCCAAGACCTGGGCCCAGCTGAGGAGGGATGTGGGGAAGGAAGGATGAGAGGGAGGACCCTCTGGGAAAATGTGGGTTTGAGCTGGTGAGAGTGTTGCCAGTTGAGGCTGGGCTAAAGCCTGGAGGGGGTAGGAGGAAGCAAGAGGGGTCCAGGCAGGGCTGATCCTGGCCTTTGACTTGTCCAGGGGGCCACCCCAGAAGCCCCTGCTGCCTCTGGGCATTGCTGGGAGAGGCCAAGGCAGTACTCATATCTGAACAGAGAGCCCCTCAGGTATTGCTGATGGGCCACCTTCAGCTGCAGGGAAGAAGACTAGGAGAGGAGGCATGGGAGAGACCTGGGCCTTGTTCAGATTGGCCACCTCTGCTGAGAAGTCCATTCCAGTACACCCCTAATAAGTTATGCCACATACCAATGTACTGTGGATGTTATAACCTGCATCAACATAATTCTAAACAATGCTGCTCATTTACACAGAAGCTCTGTTTCTTCATGTACTCCAGGGGACCACCATGGCACCCCCAAGGCTGCAGCCACCTCCTTTTGAAGACAGCTGTCCTGAAGCTTCCCCTTAAACCCAGGGCTGTTCTCGGCCATCTGGACTCCTCTCTTGCCACTCCTCCCTGTGGCCTGGCCTCCCCCAATGCCCACCCTCCACACCACGCTCAGCCAGACATTGCTGTCCCTGTAAGGAAGGGCTTTGCTTGCAGCCTTTGGGTGCCCAGCTTCTCTTGCTGTGGCCTTATTTTAAGGTAACGCATTTACAGACTTGAGTGATTGAACACTTGGTATCAAAGTACTTGTCATGTACCCTAACCCCCAGCTCATGGCCTCCTTGGGCGAGAAGTACAGACCACGTTAGGTGGCAGGGAGTGTCTGCCAGCCTGGGGGAAGAGGCTTAGAAAGTCATCCTGCAGGGAGGGGAATAGAGGGAATGTGGAAGGAGGGAAGGCTCTGCCTTCCTCTTCTGATGGGAACAGGGTTTCCCAAGCTAACCTTAAATTGGTCGAATGTTGGAGAGTCACGCAGCGGTGGAGACCTGCTGAGGGCCGCAGGCACTGCCTTACGCCAGTTGCCCATCTGCAGGCCCTGTGCTTGCACAGGAACCCTCACTGGAGAGAGAGGCACCTGGCTCCTGTGTCTAAACCCATCATGCTGGGACCAGGGTTAGAGTCTGGGGACAGACCTCAGACTGCCTGTCACCCCCTCGGACTTCCACCCACGTGCCACTTTCCAGGACACAGCTCCCACTTGTGCACTTTCATATTCATAGTGCTTCCTGCAGGCACAAATATGAATGGCATTTCAGCCGCCACCACCCAGACTCCTTTCTGGTACCAAAGTGCTCATTGTTGCATCCTATCCCCCACCCAGCACTCAGATGTCGTCACTGTGCAAATATTTCTTGGGCTTGGGAAGCCTCTGACTAAGCAAACCTCCCCATCCGCCTAGACTTTGATGATGACCCACGGGCAGGGAACCTCATGCCTAAGTGACCTGTGAAACCGACCCATGAGGTACCGATCCAAAGGGTCCTGAGAGGTCAGGGAGGTCCTGATCTGAAAAGATCACGCCATCCCCTGCCAGAAACTGAATTTTCATCAAGCTCTTTCAGTTGCAAAGAACAGAGACACCCTGAAGGTAACTCAAGAGACAAAAGGGAGCTCGCTGGAACCCTAGGGCAGGAACTGCAGTGCCCAGGCCTGGGGCCAAAGCAGCCACACACCGTGAAGGAGGCAGCAGGGTGACACTGCAGTCACCAGTCTGAGCCTCAAGGGGCGGCTCTACCACTACAAGCTGTGTGGCCTTCAGCAAGTTTCTTCATCTCTCTATAGCCGTTCCTTCATCTGTACAATAAGAATGGTGGAATAGTGCCTGCTCTGTGGATTACGATTAAGTGATCCTAGAATAGTGCCTGGCCCATAGTAATCAATACACGCGAGCAATTATCATCATCTCTGCCTTTGCCTGCTCCGCCCTCCTCTCCCCGCTACTGACAGTTCACGGAGAGGCGCTGCTCCCCTAGAACTATATTCAGCACTGCCCTGGCCCTCCAGCCCCACCCCTGACTGACCACCTGCAGCACTGTGACCACTCCCCTCCTAATGGCTGAATCTTGAACGAGAGGATCGAATTAGTCCCACTCATTTTTCCATGGGTCAGTAGGCAGCCCGTAGACTGATTTTCCCTGGATAGGCGCCTTCTCTTGATCCAATCGGCTATGACCAGCAGGCATGGGCCTCAGGACACATACAGCTGCTTTTGCAGCTGGAGTGCTAAGTGGGCAATGCCCTGGGCCCTTCCGGTCCCCTGTGTCAGCCTATCACGCCATGCCGTGTCCTTTCTGGGAATGGGTACAATGCAGGTCCCTCTAGAGAGGGCAGACAACAGAACACACCCCCTTAAACACCCTCCTTTCTCCTTTGCATCATCATCACCTGAGGGTCCATCCATGGAGGGGCTCCTGTCCTGGTTGTGGTCTTGGAATGAAGATGACAATGGGAATACTGACGTGCCTCCTGCACTGTACTGCTAATACGATGCTTCACTTATCAATGAACTCTCTCCCAGTCACTCCTTTGATTGGGAACCTCTCCAATCAACAACCTTGGGAGGTGGGTTTTGTTCCCAAGAAAGGTGAAGAGATCACGGGGCCTCCACTCTCAGTGACTTGGCACAGGGCGGGGCCTGGGAGCGCAAGGCCTTGCCCTCGGAAGACACTGCGTAGTGCCGGCTCACCCATTCTGGGCAGAGGCAGGAGCCTCCCCGAATTGCCGCAGCAGCAGGACCCTCTGGATCCATGGAAACTTGCATGACCAGGAGTGCCCAGGGGAGGAAGATACATGGGTCGAGGGGCCTCTTGGGTGCCCAGAACCCCCACTTGCCAGCCCCACCCCACCACCAGCTTCGCCCCACTGGCTGCAGAGGAATGCCAGTGCTCTGTGATGCCTGCCACCCCAGCTCCTCTGCAGCGAGAGTAGAGGCCCCTTAAGCAGCGGCTGGACATTGCCCCAGATAGAGTGTTCAGAAGATGCCCGAAAGCATGGGCAGCCACGGGAACTGCGTTGGGTCATGGGACTCCACAATCCTGACCACTCGCTGTCGGCATCGTGGCTGGGTTCCAGAGCCAGTGTGTTCCCCATGGGCTGTTCCACAGCTCAGAGATGCCGACACACCAATGTAGTGGTCCCCAACACAGGTGGGGGCTGTCATTGTTCTCTTGTTCTTGTTCCCGCTCACCCTCAGTCTCTCACTCTCTTAACTGTCTCTGGAATTTGGCAAGAAGTCCTTGTGGACTTCTTTAAAAACATGTATCATTGTTTCTTGAACCATTTGATAACAGGTTGCATAAATGGTGCTCCGTTCCCCTTAATACTTCAGTATGTGTTTACCAAGAACAAAGGTCATCCCTGTATCTAACCACAGTGGAGTTAACAAATAGGACGTTCAACACTGCCGCTGTGCTCTTATCTAATCCACCGCCCCATTTCAGGTTAGGCACTAGTTTTCCTTAGAATATTCTTCTCCAGCCCAGGATCACACCCTCCACTTTACAGCCAGCTCCTTCGGCTCCTCTAATCTGGAAGAGCTCCTCCTCTCCCTTTGCCTTTTGTGATGCTGGCATTGCCGAAGGCTGTAGCGGCCTGGCCTCTGCAGATAGGCAGAGGGAAGTGGGAGGCGGGGCGGGGGTGGCCAGGGGGAGCAGAGGCTAGAAAGCAGCCAAAGCCAAGGGGCTGAGAGAATGGAGAACCGTTGATTGGTAGGAGCTGGAAGATAAAAGCAAAACTGAAGGGCAGGTGAATCTCTGTGCAGGCAGAGCTTTGGAAACAAAAGAAATGGCCACCTACTTGCAAGGCGCATGGAGATGATGGAAGCACTGGAGCTCCATTCCGTCCTGAATGAGCTTTCCAACACCTGCAGCCTAACTGCAGGCAAGAGTCCCACCTGCCTCCTCTCCTTACACGGTGGCCCCCATGAAGACTTGAGGGACCCTGAGTGTGTGTGTGTTCCTGGCAGCCCTGCACATCCCCAGAGAGAGGCTCACTCTTCTTCCCTGCACCATCAGACAAGCGGAAGCAGGACATGTTCCAGAACTTCACCCATTGCTTTTGTCTGTGGCACCCACGCCCCCTCAGAGAGCACATGTGCCAAGCTGGGAATGGCGCAGGCATGGAAGACTTCCTGAAGAGCAGCAGCTCTGACTCCTGAGGTGGGGCCCATCCCCACATAAAGGTCAGGAGCACAGACGGTCTCCCCCAGGGTGCACACAGCTGGGCAGTCTCCCGCCACCCTGACTGATCTCTCATTTCAGCCTGGGCCCAGAAGGAAGAGGCCACTGCAAGCTTCCTCTCTCCTGTCTGGGCCCGGCCTGAGCCATCTCAGGAGCCCTCAGCTCACTCCCCAGCCCCCACGCAAGGCCCAGGGCTCAGTGGCTACAGTGGTGGCATCCTGCCCAGCACACACTCTCCACCCCCTGAGAACACCCACGCCAAGGGTATGGGGCCCTTACACAGCCTGGCCTGGTGCAATCTGGGCTGAGGCCACAGAGGCCCCTGTCCTGGGGAAGGTAGGGGAAGCTGGGTGCTCTCCCCCATGCAGAGAACTTTCTGAGCTGGGAGCCCCACCCTCCTAAGTGCTTGTCTTCTTTCCTTTCTCCTCTTCCTTTTCTTTCCTTTTTCTTTCTTTCTTTCTTTCTTTCTTTCTTTCTTTCTTTCTTTCTTTCTTTCTTTCTTTCTTTCTTTCTTTCTTTCTTTTCTTTCCTTCCTTCCTTCTTTCTTTTCTTTCCTTCTTTTTTCTTTTCTCTATCTCTCTCTCTTTTTCTTTCTTTCTTTTTTTTTTTTGAGACAGAGCCCAGGCTGGAGTGCAGTGGCGCGATCTCGGCTCACTGCAACCTCCACCTCCCAGGTTCAAGTGATTCTCCTGCCTCCGCCTCCCGAGTAGCTGGGAGCCACCAGCCACCATGCCTGGCTAATTTTTTATATTTTTAGTAGAGACAGGGTTTCGCTATATTGACCAGGCTGGTCTTGAACTCCTGACCTCAAGTGACCCGCCCACCTTGGCCTCCCAAAGTGCTGAGATTACAGGCATGAGCCATCACGCCCGGCCTCTTTTCTTTTCCGGTCCATCAGGCCTCTTGTGGCCTCAAAGAGCCATGCCTCCCATGCCCACCCCACACCCTGCAAAATGCCTTTCCAGAATGCCCACGGAGACTCACTCCTTGTTTGTGCCTTGTCCTTTAAGATCCTTCCCACGCCTTCTAGAAGTCCCGTGCCAACTGCCTCCCACCTTACAGGGCCCTTGTGCTTTGGCAGAACACCCAGGCTAGACAGTCCTGTGGGTTCTGCTTCTTGAGTCGGACCCCCACATTCCACATACCCGGACTCAGCCACACCTGTGGGTGCCCCCATGAATGGAACACCAAGTTGGGTCCAGGGAGGCGCCCCTGCGGCTGGAAGGCTTGCAGTACAAATGTGGAGTGAGGCTGCCATGTCCCCACCCACAGGCTAACCTTGGCCTTCTCTCTCTGGGCAGATGGACTTGCCCAAGCCATGCACCATCCCAGCTCTGTACCCTGGTGGTGTCTGGGAGGGGACTTTACACAGGCACAGCCCTCCTGAGCCTATTGTGGCTGCTCAAAGCCCTGTAATTGGTCCCAAAGCCGTTACATTTTCTTAATGAAGTTACACATATGTTTAATCCTATTCTATAAATTAAATTACTTTAGAAATATGTATCTTTACATTAGGATCTTCTGGGACACACGGGCCATTGAACACAATTTTCAGAACCTTCATATTCATGTCTAAGAAGGTATTTCAGATAAAGCACTTTACAAATCCTTGAATAATGTGGCCACCAGAGATTTTATCTGGAGCCATAAATACCATTTGTAAAACATTAGGAGAGTTCTTCCCATCCCTGACCCCATTCTCCATAATGCAACTTTTAACTAGATTGCTTTTTAAGTGATCTACAGAGAGCTTGTTGATAACATCTAACACGAGCAACCATAAAATCAAAACTCTGGGGATGATTTCTAAATCAGTTCTAAATTTCTTTACTACTTTTTAAAAAAAAATTATTTCATCAGATGATTTCCATCAGCATCCAACACCAGCAATGACTGAGGTTATTCAGGCCAAGAGATCTTCCCTAAATTGTATTTTGTGACTCAAAATAATCCAAGGAGGCTCCCCACATTTCAAGGTGACTTTCTACAAGGCTTCTATTTCCTGATAGATCATTGTGAGCTGGAGCACTTAGGCACCAACCAGCCTGGGAAGACACGAAGGATGCTTGGAGGGAGCACACGAAGGGCCAGGGGTGCAGGTGAGTATTTCAGGCAGAAGGGTACCTCGATTCCCAGCCCAGAGAAAGGTTAGAAAGGTGGTGTGGTAGGCTGAAATGTCCCCCAAAAAGTGTCCATGTTCTAATCCCCAGAACCTGTTAACTATGTTACCTTACAGGGTAAAAGGGATTTGAAAATGTGATTGAATTAAGAATCTTGAGATGAGGCCGGGCGAGGTGGCTCACGCCTGTAATCCCAGCACTTTGGAAGGCCGAGGTGGGTGGATCACTTGAGGTCAGGCATTCAAGACCAGCCTGGCCAACATGGTGAAACCCCATTTCTACTAAAAATACAAAAAATCAGCTGGGCGTGGTGGTGCCCACCTGTAATCCCAGCTATTCAGGAAGCTGAGGCAGGAGAATCACTTGAACCTGGGAGGCAGAGGTTGCAGTGAGCCGAGATCACGCCACTGCACTCCAGCCTGGGTGACAAGAGCGAGACTCCATCTCCTAAATAAACAAATAAATAAGAATCTTGAGATGAGGAGGTTATCCTGGATTATCCAGTGGGCCCAATATAAGTACAACAGTCCTTATATAAGGCAGGCAGGAGAGTCAGAGTTAACAGGAGGAGATGTGATGATGGAAACCAGAGTAGAGTGATCGGAGGAAGGGCTGCGAGGAAAGAAACGCAAGTGATCTGTAGAAGCAGAAGAAGACTAGGAAGCCAACTCTCAGAGCTTCCAGAAGGAACTAGCCCTGTCAAAACCCTCGCTTTGGCCAAATAAGAATGATTTTGGATTTCTGACCTCTAGACCTGTAAGGTAATAAAATTGTGTTGTTGTGAGCAACAAAGTCTGTGGTCATTTGTTACAGCAGTCACAAGAAATTCATACAGAGAGTTGAGTGAATGAGCTACCCCAGCACAGATGGGCACAAGGGCTCAGGGAGGCCTTTGTGAACCTGCACTTTGGGGTATTCTGCAGTCCTCCTCCCATGCGCAGCCCAGGAGGGGCTGAGGATTAGAAGCCTGAATAGGCGTGATCCTGCTTGGTATATTTCCAAGTGTCTACTCTGATGCTGTTGAATTGGGAAAGCTCTAGCAACTTCCCTCCTTCTTGATGGCCCTCAGCGACCAAGCAGGGCCTTGGAGCCCTGGAACTTCAGAGCAGGGATGAGGGGGCAGTGGCCAGCCTTCATCAAGCCCTGTACTCCACCTGTGACCGGCACGGCTCCCAGCACATTGCCTTGCTGTCCCCCACTGCCTTCTCCCAGGCTGCTAGGCTGCAGTGGGGTGAGGTGAATAGAATGCTTGTCAGTGCCTGCCTCTGCCCCAACCCAGCCCACTCTGGTGACCAAAGATGCAGTGTCATAGCCTGAGCTACCTTCCTGCAGTCACCCTGTCTGCCTACAGTTTTCAGGAACTAAAGCACATTCCCACCAAAGCAGTCACGGCGCTACCTTGCTCCCATGCTAGTTAGACCCCTTGGAGCCCCTACAACTGTCTAGAAGGATGGCACCTTTTTCTGGGCTCAAATATGGGCAAGAGTGTTGTTAACAAGACAATGAGGGTCATGTGCTGGGAGGCCTCCCCCTACACGTCCACCCCCAGGAGCCCCTTCTCTTGCCACTCCGTCCTTCCTCCTCCGGTCACCCATCTCCTGCTCCTTCCTTACTCACGCCCCCACCACCTCTCAGCCTCCCATGGTTCCAGCCTTGGCCCGTCCTGCTCTCCAGAGTTGCCTTTTCTCTGAGGAGGCTGCAAATAAGCCCAGCCAGGGTCTGGGGCTTGGGCACTGGCCCCCAAAGCTCACCCAGCCCTGCTAAGAGGGTGGGATGGGCAGGCCATGAGGCCCTGAATCCAGAGCCCAACCTCTTCCCTTTGAGCGTGGCAGTTCTACGTGCCTGCAGCCCTGCCCTTGGCCAAAACCAAGGGGTCTGTAGGGACCCCAGCCAAGAATCAGGCCAGCAAAAGTGCATGGGTTCAGGCCCTTCCTTGTCCTTCTCCCCAGAACAACTGTGGCTTGGTCATGGTCAGGCATTAGCTTTCCCCAGAAAATCACGTAGGAGTGCAGCATGGCCAGCACCCCAGGGATCAGGAGGCTGAGATCAGCAGAGGAGAAGGAGGAAGGTCAGGGGCAAGGAACCCTATCTGGGCAAAAGCCCACAGCAGGAAGAAACATCTGCTGGGGGAAACAGAGGCAGCCCAGACAGATGGCCCTGCAGAATCTTCTCCATTGGTTCTACCTCCAGGGGAAGTCTCTGCAGGCCCCCACCCGCTTCCTGCAAGCTTGTGTAAATGCTCTCCCCTTACGATTCCGACAGGGTACTCATTCTCTCCTGGGACGCCAGGGAGCTACCCTCCACCCCAATTACACGCACCTCACATGGGCCCCCACAGCCATGCCTGCAGCAAAGGTCTGGGCTCTTCTGACCACAGCTCGTGGCCCAGGCGCAGACCCCTGACCCAAGGTGGCCAACTGGATTCTCTCTCCTAGGAACTGGAGACTTAAACCAAAGAGGTGCCTGTTCTATTCTTTTAGAATGTTGACTCCGAAAATGATACAAGGTTGCCACATTCGATCCTCTACACATAAAGAGGCAGTGAAAGCCAGCCTCCAAAGGGAGAAAAAAGCAGGCCTAAGAGAGGCGGAGGGGAGACCATGAGGCCTGAGAGAGGTGAGGAGAGACCATGAGGCCTAAGAGAGGCGGAGGGGAGACCATGAGGCCTGAGAGAGGTGAGGGGAGACCATGAGGCCTGAGAGAGGCGTGGAGGGGAGACCATGAGGCCTGAGAGAGGTGAGGAGAGACCATGAGGCCTAAGAGAGGCGGAGGGGAGACCATGAGGCCTGAGAGAGGTGAGGGGAGACCATGAGGCCTGAGAGAGGTGAGGGGAGGCCATGAGGCCTGAGAGAGGCAGAGGGGAGACCATGAGGCCTGAGAGACAGGAGGGAGACCATGAGGCCTGAGAGAGTGAGAGCAAGACAGACACACACACACACACAGAGTGAGAGTGAGAGAGACATAGAGAGAGAGAGAGGTGGTTCTTGCCAGACCCTGGTTTACACTTTTGTCGATGAGATGCCTCTAAGTCCTTACAATCTGACCCCCTTCTTCCCCTTGCTAGTTTGAGGGGTTTCTCTAATCTTTCCATCACTGAGCCTTGGCTAAGAGACACATGGCCATCTCCCGCCTCTATCTCATTCTAGAACGGCATCTGAGTGCCAGATGCTGCCTGAGATGCTGCTTCGTAGAGAAAACACCCTCCATCAGAATGACCAGCCATTACTTTCTGATCATGCAAGGGACTTTAGCCCACTTGGAGAATAAAATTGGAAACTATCTTCCCTGCAGCCATCTTCTCATCAAGGTGGGACAAGAGACACTATCCTGAGACATCAGTCTGATCTTCCAAGTGTCTGTTTTCTGCTCCAAAGGAATGTAATGCAGGGCGTTTATTCCACAAATGTGAACACATTCCAGGAGATGATGGCCTTCCTTTTCGCCCCTCAACAACCATTTTACAAAGGTCTCTAAGTCTAGGGCTTTGCTGCAGCCAAGAAGAGACATTCCCTTTGGTTGGAGCCCAATTCAGAGGGCAGTTGTGGAAGGCGGGTAATGTGTGTGTGGGAGGAACAGAGGGATTCTCAGGGGAACCAAAGCAGGGATCTAGAGAAGCCAGCATCATAGCAGTTAATGGCGAGGGGCTGGGCTATTGACTAAACTATAACAAAATGTAAGCATTGTATTAGCTCTTCACTGTATTAGCTTTTTAAAAAGACCCTTGCAATTATTTATTAACCACTCTGGAATCTCCCTAGCCTTTGCTGAGACACCACTGTCATGCATAGGATCCGACTGGCTAGAGCCCCTTGGGCAGAAAGCATGTGGTCCCAGCCTTCTGAGGACCCTCCTCCCCTCCCACACCCTCACTTGCACCCTCCACTGTCATTGGTCCAGGCTGCCTCCGTTCCCCTCCTGCAAATGTTTATTCCTGCCCTGAGCCTTTGCCCAGATAGGCTTCCTCGCCCCTGACTCTTTCCTCTCCTGATCACAGCCTCCTGAGCCCTGGGGTGCCGGCCAATCTATCCTCCGCCGTGCGGGCCACCCCTCACCTCCCAGGCTCAGGCCACACTGCCTTCTCCTTCCTCTGAATGCCTGCGGCCTTCCTTGTCACAATGGCTCCTCTGTGCACCTGGTGCAATGATTTGGCAGCTTCCTGAAACTACAGCTCGTCTTCCTGTTGGAATTGCCATCCGCGTGAGGGCAGCCCCTGAGCTTCAAACACAGGGCAACTGGCAGGAAAGTCTTGGCACGACGTGTACGGCCCTCCCCCAACCGGCACTACCCCACACTCCATTTCCGGCACAACCCTCCCCAAACTCAGTCACATGCCTCATTCATCTTTGTTTCAAGACTCCACTCTCCAACCCCAGCTCAGCACCTTGCACATAGCAGATACTCAAAATGTTGTTGACTTGAAAACACAAATATTCATCATGTGGAATCAATATAGTTCTTTTCAGGGGGTTCGAAGAGAGAAAGAACCAGCTTTTGGGATGCTGGGACGCTCAGCTTGGCCTCTGTTTAATGCTGAACACCCACGGAAGTCTTCAAGGGGCCATGAGGCCTTATAACCCTGATGCAGTTGAGTTCCAGCTAGAGAGAACACGGCCACACAGAGCAGAGACCAGACATCTCAGGGCCTGTCCGAGAGCAGCCCGGGGCACAGTCTGTCTGAATCTGCTCTTTGGTAATAAGCACAGTGAACATATAATTTATCGCTCAGACCAGGACACTTTTGAGAGAGAACTGGTAATTATGCTGGGACTATCCCAGATAAGCAAGCAGGACGGTCACCTCAAGCAATCAATCATGTTCTGTGGCCAAACTCCTCCAAGGAAAAGACAAAATACAGTTTTCTAAACATAAGAACGTGCTAAACCTCAAAGTAGAGCTTGGTGCCAAGATTGCTTTATTTTAAAAGCCAATTGTGTTGTTGAAGAAAAGGCTATGTTCTCGGCCCATTTTGGCTATGGTCGGAGACTGCTTAGGGAATTGTCTTAAAGTTGTATATGCTCCCGGGCCTGGGGTTTTCTGAAAACAGAGCAGAAAACAGGGACTGATGAGACAGTGAAACCAAAACCCTGAGGCTCCTGTGCCTGGCTGCTGGCTTGGATGTGGTGGACAAATTCCCCAAGGATGAAGACCAGGGCCACACCAGCCTGGGCTGAAGCCTGGCAGACCCTCTAATTGGAACATGTCCTTGGAGCAGAGGCTGCTCCTGTTAGGGGCTCACCATGAAGCTGGAGGGGGGCTGAGAGGCCAGGCCAAGCCAGGGGCCACCTAGAACCTGCTGGGAGAGGCGGGGTCACACACCACCTGCACCTCAAGGCACACCTTCTCCCAAAGAGCACTTGGCCCAGGCAACTCCTATCCCAAAGAATGCCATCATCCTTCCCCCGGTGACCTCGGCCTGGCAAGAAGTGAGTGAAGAGAATGAGTTCTGAACCTGGTTGGTCTAACTCAAAAGCCCAAACTGCCTCTCAAACTCGGGTTGTGCCTTGGTTATTGACCCAGAGTTATTAAAGTAAGGTGTTTCTCAACCAGGGTCCACGGACCCCAGGGTCAGAAGTATTCTCAAGGGATCCACAAGTTCTAATTTTTGAAAGTCATGTTTTTGTTTTTATAAAATGCTTGAACAAATATTATTATTATTATTTGTTCATTATTATTTTTTTTTTTTTGAGAGAGTCTCGCTCTCACCAGGCTGGAGTATAGTGGGCGTGATCTCAGCTTACTACAATCTCTGCCTCCCAGTTTCAAGCTATTCTCCTGCCTCAGCCTCCCGAGTAGCTGGGATTACAGGTGCCGCCACTACCACACCCAGCTAATTTTTTTTGTATTTTTAGTAGAGACGGGGTTTCGCCACGTTGTCCAGGTTGGTCTCAGTCTCCTCACCTTGTGATCCACCCACCTCCGCCTCCCAAAGTGTTGGGATTACAGGCATGAGTGACCGCACCCGGCTGGGTTTTTGTTTGTTTGTTTGTTTGTTTTTTTGAGATAGGGTCTCACTCTGTCACCCAGTCTGGAGTGCAGTGGCACAATCTCAGCTCACTGCAACCTCCACCTCCTGGGCTTAAGCAATTCTCATGCCTCAGCCTCCTGAGCAGCTGGGATTACAGGGGTGCACCACCACACCTGGCCCTATTTTGCCAATTATTTAAACAAAGCTTCTCTTCTGTAGTGATAAAATACAAATAAATGCCATTTTCACAGACTAAGACTTCAATTTCTTTTTTTTTTTTTTTTTTTTTTTGAGAGAGTCTCGCTCTCACCAGGCTGGAGTATAGTGGGCGTGATCTCAGCTTACTACAATCTCTGCCTCCCAGTTTCAAGCTATTCTCCTGCCTCAGCCTCCCGAGTAGCTGGGATTACAGGTGCCGCCACTACCACACCCAGCTAATTTTTTGTATTTTTAGTAGAGACGGGGTTTCACCATGTTAGCCAGGATGGTCTCAATCTCCTGACCTCGTGATCTGCCCACCTCGGCCTCCCAAAGTGCTGGGATTACAGGCATGAGCCACCCCGCCTGGCCTAAGACTTCAATTTCTTAGGTCGATGTCTCCCATGCTGGGAGCACATGCACATATTCTTGAAGGCATTTGAGACACCAGTGTAATGATTAAGATCAAGGGTTTTAGAGCCCAACAAGCCTGAGTTCCAGTCCTAGTCCCACCACCAACGGCTCAGTGGGACCCTGGGCATCAATTGTGTTGTTGAAGAAAAGGCTATGTTCTCGGCCCATTTTGGCTATGGTCGGAGACTGCTTAGGGAATTGTCTTAAAGTTGTATATGCTCCC